CCCCAAAACCCCAAAACCCCAAAACCCCAAAACCCCACAAGTGAAGATTTTAAGACAATTTTTGAATTGAAACAATAAATAGTAAATAGATAATCTAAATTTAAGAGTGTTTTAAGATGGATAGAAATAATTGGGACATACTAAGAGTGGTTTGCCCTATCGCATTTTGTGCAGGAGGTCTATTTTTCTATAGAAAATTTATGTATTCGCCTCACCCTTTTACTGTACCGATTAAATAGAGATCTCACATACATAAAGGTATTTAAATCGTTATTGATTATCATATTCAAACCCTAAAATAGTTGAAAATGGAATTGTGCATAAGATGACTAATGCAGAACTGGGTGGAATTATAAGCAACAAATTATTCATTAAGGTACTGAGTTATAACGTGTTAGCTGATTGCTACTCTCACTATTTTATGTTTAAATACGTGGATCATAGTATTCTCAAGTTCAAGTACAGATCTTTCCGGATACTTGAGGAAATTAAGTAATCTAACTCTGACATCATCTGTCTCCAGGTAAAAATAAGCTTAGATTTATTAAAGTATTCCATGCAAATGCTTGACTTTAAATTCTATAGGAAGTTGATCATATCCATGATTTCTATAAGCCTAACTTAGAGTAGCTGGGTTATAGTATCTAGTACACATTGAGAAGAGAAAAAGATGCAGTGCTTGTAGGATATAAAAAGGATTATTTTTTATTGCTGCACTAAGAACCTGTGGATTATAATGAGATTATGGCAATTTACCAAGATAAATCCTTTTTAAGACACAATAAAGCTTAGATTTGCCTTTTAGAGCATGTAAGCAATCAATAATTGTTATTAGTTTATTTTAGATAGAGAGCAAGTTAAAATTGATAGTGATAAGTTCTCATTTATTTTGGGGTGAGGACAATATTAAAAGTGCTCAAACTAGTTTGCTTATCTAAAAGCTTTCCAATTTCATAGAGGTTCACTTTAAAGAAGATTAAGAGTTACCAGGCATAATTATTTGTGGTGATTTTAATTCTGGGCTGAAATCTCCAACAGTCAGAATGATTTATGGAGAGTAACTAGATATGGAAGCAATCCATCCAAAAGAATTGGCTCTTTACAACAAAATAAATTAGTTATACTAGGAATTGACGAGAAAGAAGAAATTCAAATTGATTAGTTCCTATCAGAAATATAACATAATCCCTGAGGCAGATATGCATAACGATTTAGAACGTAGATTAAAGGGGCATCCCTCCTTTACAAACTATACAGGCAAATACAAAGACCATTTCGATTATATATTTCACTCAGAAAAGTAATATTCTTTTAACTTAAGGGTTTAGTTTGAAAGTTGAAAGTTTGCTGGAGATGCCAACACTTGAGGACTTGACTATGGAAACAGCTCTTCCAAACTCTATATTTCCCAGTGATCACGTGAGAATAGAAGCACTTTTTAGCTTGGAATTAAATTAAAATCATCGAATAGTAGGCAAACTTTGAAAATATTTACTTGCAATTTACCTAAAAAAGCACTAATTATCTCTAATCAAATATCTTTGTTTAATATTATTGAATAATTTTATACAATTTATTGTAAACTACAATTGATAAGGGGTTTTGGGGTTTTGGGGTTTTGGGGTTTTGGGG